CCATTCTATTAATAAATGCGTGTATCTTTCAAATTAAATAAAGGGATAATGCCCAAGTACCCCCTCAACCTATGCCCGAAATCTCGGAGACACACTTATACTATACTAAGGTTCTATTACCCCCCTGAACTTATTTTATTAATAATTTTTTACCCCTTCTTAGCTTACGTGGCACTATCTTGTGGGCCCAACGATGGTTGACTTTTTTTTCCGAACTAGTGCCACGTAGGCTAAAAAGGGGTAGAAAATTACATATAAAATAAGTTCAGGGGGATAATAGGACCTTAGTATAGTATAAGTATGTCTATGGGGTTTCGGACATAGATTGAGAGGGTACTTGAGTATTTTCCCTTAAATAAATACAAAATCAACATTATAACAAACTAAAATACTCACATTTTAAATAAATATTAAAAGTGTTGACCAGATGGCCAATTAAATGCTAAATAATTGTTGTTTTGAAAATTTTCCCCTTTTATTTTTTGTTGATATATTGCTTCATTATTAAAAGTGACATTCATCACATTAGCTTTTAGATATCTTGATTTTGAACTCTATTCTTCTCTTCAAAACTTTATATAACAAAAATCAAAAAATTATATACCAATTACGAGTAAAATGTAAATCAAATAAAAAGGAAAACTTTCACATAAAACCACTCAAAAATAATCTAACTACTTTTCATAACTATAGTTTGATGATTATGATTCGTAGCTATATGTTATAGAGAGGAGAGAGGCAAGTGAGACTGGGAGAGATACAGGAGAGAGACGAGCAAGAGAGGGCAAAGAGTGGAAGAGAGGTGAATTTATATGTATATTGGTTAGATAATTGTATATTATACATATGTAATTGTATATATGGCAAGAGAGATTGAGAGAGGGAGGAGAGGCGAGCGAGATGGGAGAAGGAGGAGAGATGCGTGTGAGATTGGGAAAGAGGCGATCGAGAGATATAGGTTAGATAATTGTATATTATACATATGCATTTGTACATATAGCAAGTGAGATTGGGAGAGAGAGGAGAGAGGCGAGCGAGATCGGGAGAGGGAGGAGAGTGGCGAGTGGGAGAGGACAAAGAGTGGGAGAGAGGTGAATTCTATATGCATGTTAGATAATTGTATATTATACATATGTATTTGTATATTCTAACGAATTATACATATACAAACGTGACTAATTATACAAATTTGAAGTCAGCTCACATATTAATGAATAATGTTAGTTGTGAGTGGTAATTATAACAAACTACAACTATGATGAGTAATTTATAAGTAGTATAAGTTTGTTTAACCGCGTAATTAATTTTTCCAATAAAAAAAGAGTTCTCGGAAAAAAAACTTGAAATTAAATTAAGGAAAACGCATATGTTAAGACAAATAAACATAAAGATTGAATAATTGAAATTTAATTAACTCCTCTGACTCAGTTTATTTGTTTTTTTGTGAGTCAAACAGTTTAAATTTGATCGAAAATTTGCGCATGAAATCTTTATTTTTTTGAAATTAAATTCATATAATTATAAATTACGTAAAAAGTATTACAAAACACAAAAATTTATTATTTAAAATATTTAAAAAATCTATAAAAAAAATTACGATCAAAATTAAATTTATTTGAATTTTAAAATTTTAAAATTATCATATAAAATAAACGGAGCATAAAACGGAGTGAGTATAACTTTTTGCTAATGCCACTTCACTTGGCTTGTGACTTGAATAACTTTTGACTATTATAATATGCTTTCTAAACTTAGTTTTGTTAAAATAATTACCTAACAACCAGGCTGGTACGTCCATTGATTAGGCTTTTCATATCATTAAATTAACAAGGCTAAATACATGATTGGAGATCCTTATAATTTCGTTCGATATTATTTAGATACTCGAACTTTGATCTATTTCAACTCAACATACTATAAAGTGTTCATATTAGATACTTCCAACTCATATTCCCTAAAAGTTGATTTACGTATTATAAGTACACATTACATAGATAAGTTGATTATATTAAATGTACATCCTCCTTTAATAACACACATCTAACATCAATTATATATAGCGAATCCGAAATTTACAATATATCTAGCTAATTATTCAATATAATTATAAAGTTTTTAAAAACATACAATGTCATTAGAAGAAACCTAATAATTGATTCAACACATAGAATTTTATACTGTTAACAATTGATGATCACAAACTGCGTATCCGAGGCTAATTAATTTGTATAATTAAAAGATGTAACATATAACGTAAGTGGTCAACTTATTTACGCACTGAGCACTTAGGACCATACGGAAAAAAAACTCAAAAAAATAAAATAAAATCGAAAGTGTCTAATTAAAAACGCTTTATTGTGTTTTAAATACATAACTAAAACAAATCGTAGTACCGTCAAATTCATGAGGTTGTTGATATAGCCTTAGGTTTTATTCCTTTCAATATTTGGAATTTTGGGGGGTGTGAAAGTATGTATAAGATTTTTCTGCTTTCGGCTCAACATTTATACTTTGACTAGTCTAGAATATACACTTCAATTACATAGTTTATTTGCTACAATTTGAAATGCTAATTAAGTTAGCTAGATATTAAACAATATTGACATAACTTTAGGTTAACATGATTACTTTTTTTTTCCCCAAGTTCCTGGTGGTTTCCTCCTGTCTACCAAGTACCAAACCATAGTTGTTAACAACAAATAAATAATGATAACAATTGAAGTGTAACATAACAAAAAAGTTGATCTATGGACTATGGCATGTGTTCAACATTGTTTATTTTTAACTTGAAGACTTCTCATTTCTCTTGCTTTTTGTTTCCACTTTTTGAAGCTTAGGGAAGTACTCTTTTGAAGCTTTTTAATTAAAGTTAATTATTGATCAAATATGGTACCCATTGTTTTATTTGGATGTAAAGTTAAAAAGATTTGGTATCTTGACAATTAGGTTGATTAATTGATTTGAGTTACCTTATTCAATGTGCTTTGCATTTTAAAGGGATCATCAGACCATTTATAAGATATTTTCTTCTTGCAAACTTCACGTGTTCCTGTATGGAAAAGTTTGTAAAAGAAAAGGTAGAATTAGACAACAAACCAATAAATGATACAAGAAATGTAATTGACATAACAAGAAGGTTGATTCATGGCATGTGTTCAATATTGTTTAATTATTTTAACTTGAAGTGTTCTCCTTTTTCTTGCTTTTTTGTTTACACTTTGGTTGAAGCTTTTCAAAGTTAATTATTGGCCTAATAGTTATTAGTTTGGCTGTATTGGACGTTGAAAAAAGGTTTTGAAATATTCACATTAGGTTGATTGATTGAGTTATTTTATTCAACGTGCTTTGAATGACTATATATATATATATATATATATATATATATATATATATATATATATATATATATATATA